GCTCCTTGGCATTGCTGGGACGTTTCTGGTGTCCTCGGCTGGGTGCGGCTAGACTGATTGACTCGGAACGGGAGGACTCTCCGCCTTCGACCTCTGGGGGCTCCTTGCGAGCGGCCAAAATCTGTTCGTCATCCCAGGACTCATCGTACTCTTCCAGTGGGCGGTAGAACGGAGCGAGCTTGCGGTCCACGATGAGCTGGTTCACAACAGCCTGATTCCAATCCCGAGGCCCTGTGTAGATCCCCTGTGGGGTGAGATAGCCGAAGTCGACCATCTCTTCATGGTGGCCGCGGCCGGAAGAGGCGCTGTTTCCCATGGCGGCAGATAGAGGGCACGCAGGGAGGGAGTGGACGTTGGAGAGAAGGGGCAGGCGTGCACTCGAAAGAGCCCGGCGGGGGATGCAGGCTGTCGTCACAGCGCTAGCCCCAGTGACGGTCAGAACAACGCCGACGGCCTTGCCCTCGGCTAACCCCGACCGCCCGCCATCCTAGCTGGGGAGACGCCCGTCTGCGCCTCACAGACTTGGCCCAGACCACAGATTCGTAGGACAAGTAAGTGCTCAGTACTTACTCGGTGCTCTTCCATCTCTGTAGTTGTTCAAGCACGGTGATAGACACACAAGCATAACATGCGATGGGCAAGCCACTCGTCACTCGCACAGTCCTTCATTGATCACCACACTGTCTCTCGCTCGGCCGAATCGCAGCCCATAAATTTGCGACGCAATGCGGATCATCGAGAACAAGCTCGTTCTTACCATTTCACTTGCGTGCGAATGCTCCTCGAGAGCACAGATGTGTGCACGTTGACTTTAGCCCTGCTGTTGACGGGCGTGTAGTTCAGAGTCCCACAGCCTGCACATTCCCTGGGCGCTTGACACCAGTTTACCTCCGAGTGTGCCTGTAGCGTTCGTCCGAACGCGCCAATGTCTATATTGTGTGCAAAGAGGACATTCATAGCAAGTCAGCTGGCCTACGACACATACTGAAAACGTTCCCAAGCGCACAAAAAAACCAGAGAGTTGCAGAGAGTGCTTTTCCACCCCGGCGGCAGCCCGAGAACCGGCGCAAGGGACCGAGGGAATCGCCACGTCAGCTTAGCGCGGACGCGTGGATTTATACCAGCGCCTTAGCCGAGAGACAACTTCCAGGCCACTTTCAGTTCCTCCACATCCTTCCCTATTCTCCCCCCCCCGCTCGCTGCTTCCTGCACGCAACGCACGAGGCCTCTCGACATGGACGCTCCATGGACGAAGACCGGAGAGGAAATCCTGCAGTACTACTCCATAGACCAGACGCGTGGTCTGACGTCGGAAGCTGCTGCTAAGCACGCTGAACTCTACGGGAAGAATGGTCCGTAACTCTCGCAATTCCTCAGTCAGTTCCTGGGTAGTAACCGTCCGTACCGTATGCAGAGCTCCCTGAGGATCCGCCAACCCCACTTTGGGAGCTTATCCTCGAACAGTTCAAGGATCAGTTGGTACTCATCCTCCTCGCGTCCGCCGTCGTATCTTTCGTTCTAGCCCTATTTGAAGATTCCGAGGGTTCGAGCTGGTGGAGCGCGTTCGTAGAACCGCTTGTCATTCTGCTCATCCTCGTCGCAAACGCGACGGTCGGTGTGATCCAGGAGACCAACGCAGAGAAAGCAATTGACGTCAGTGGTGCGCTTGTGACAATGTGTTAGGACACTGCTGACGCTCGTATAGGCCCTCAAGGAATACTCGCCGGACGAGGCCAAGGTTCTCCGGGATGGACAGTGGACACGCATACACGCGACGGAGCTCGTCCCCGGAGACATCATCTCTGTAGCTGTTGGAGACAAGATTCCTGCGGATTGCAGGTTGCTCTCTGTGGCCTCTACCAGCCTTCGCGTCGACCAGGCTATACTCACCGGAGAGAGCACCAGTGTCGGTAAGGTCATTGACCCCGTACCAGACGCCAGGGCTGTGAAGCAGGACATGGTGAACACCCTGTTTTCGGTGAGTCAACTATGGTAAGTGCCTTGTTCAATTATGTTTAACTGTTCGACTCGCGCAGGGCACCACCGTTGTGAATGGCAAGGGGACCGCGGTTGTCGTGTTCACGGGACAGAAGACTGCTATCGGCGACATTCACAAGTCAATCACGTCCCAGATTAGCGAGAAGACCCCTCTGAAGCGTAAACTCGACGACTTCGGTGACATGCTCGCGAAAGTCATCACTGTGATTTGCATCCTTGTCTGGCTCGTCAACATCAGGCACTTCTGGGATCCTGCGCATCATGGCGTGCTGAAGGGCGCGGTTTACTACTTCAAGATTGCTGTCGCCCTTGCGGTCGCTGCTATTCCGGAGGGTCTTGCCGCTGTTATCACTGCCTGTCTCGCGCTCGGCACGAAGAAGATGGCTCAGAAGAATGCGATCGTTCGTAACCTGCCTAGTGTCGAGACTCTTGGCTGCACGAACGTCATCTGCTCGGACAAGACTGGCACTCTGACCACTAACCAGATGAGCGTCTCGAAGGTTCGTCTCCTGTTTCACTTGGAGATCCTGTCGTATTTACAGTATTCGCCTTAGTTCACTGTCGTCGACATTTCGGGCACCCCAAGGGAATTCGTCGTCGAGGGTACCACCTTCGCACCTGAAGGGTCGGTTCGCCCTGCGGATGGTAAAACCATTGCTGAAGTCAGCTCAGAGCCGCTCCAACGGATAGCTGAGATTAGCGCCATTTGCAACGACTCAAAGATTGTCTATCACGCTGTAGGTCGCTACGTGGGCTCGTATACGCCTCCTGTGACTCACTTGCAACCATCTCAGGACAAAAACACGTACAGCAACCTTGGTGAACCCACCGAGGCCGCCTTGAAGGTCCTCGCTGAAAAACTCCCATGCCCCGACGCTGAGCTCACGAAGAACTTGCCGTACCTCGACCCTGCCACTCGCGCCAACGCGGTGAACGAGCATTACGAACGCAGCATCCCTCGTCTGATGACCTTCGAGTTCTCTCGTGACCGCAAGATGATGTCTGTCCTCGCGCGCAAGAATGGCACCGGTGTGCTCTTCGCTAAGGGCGCTCCCGAGTCTATCCTCGAGCGCTGCACGTCTGTCCTCGTCAACGGCCGCGCTATCCCCCTTGTACCTCAGCTCCGTGATGCGCTTCTGCAGAACACGATCGCATACGGCTCGCAAGGTCTGCGCACTCTGGCCCTCGCCTACGCCGAGAACCAGCCACTCGACCCCGAGCATTACAGGTCCGAGACGACCGCTGGCTACTCGCGCTTCGAGAAGGACCTCACCTTCGTCTCGCTCGTCGGCATGCTCGACCCTCCCCGCCCCGAGGTGCGTGAGGCCGTGGCGAAGTGCCAGGCAGCCGGCATCCGCGTCATTTGCATTACGGGCGACAACAAGGGTACCGCGGAGACGATTTGCAGGCAAATTGGCATCTTCGGCGAGCACGAGGACCTCACCGGGAAGAGCTATACCGGCCGTGAGCTTGACGAGCTGAGCCCGGATGAGAAACTCAAGGCAGTCATGCGCGCGAATCTGTTCAGCCGCACGGAGCCCTCCCACAAGAGCCAGCTTGTCGACTTGCTTCAGAGCCAGGGTCTTGTCGTCGCTATGGTGAGTCTGCCTCGTGCAAGAGATTGCAGCACAGAAGCTGATGGTCGTGTTAGACCGGTGACGGCGTCAACGATGCGCCCGCGCTGAAGAAGGCGGACATCGGTGTTGCGATGGGCAGCGGCACTGACGTCGCGAAGCTCGCCGCGGACATGGTTCTGACGGACTCGAACTTCGCCACGATAGAGCTCGCGGTCGAGGAGGGCAGGCTGATCTACAACAACACGAAGCAGTTCATCCGCTACCTCAGTGAGTATCCGGTTACCGCGTTCTCGTCCGCTTCCCGTCTGACGTCGGTTGCAGTCTCGTCGAACATCGGCGAGGTCGTCAGCATCTTCCTGACAGTCCTGCTTGGCATGCCCGAAGCGCTGATTCCCGTCCAGCTGCTCTGGGTGAACCTCGTCACTGACAGTCTGCCCGCGACGGCGCTCGGCTTCAACCCGCCCGACCACAGCATCATGCGTGTTCCGCCGCGAGACAGCCGCGAGCCCATCGTCGGCAAGTGGCTCTTCTTCCGTTACCTCGTTATCGGAACGTACGTTGGAGTCGCGACTGTCGCCGGATACGCCTGGTGGTTCGTCTTTTACTCCGGAGGCCCGCAGATCTCGTTCTACCAGCTGGTGAGTGCCACTTGGATTCGGTTGCAACAACGCAGTACATTAATCGGATCTTCCAGACGCACTTCCACCAATGCTCGGCGCTGTTCCCTGAGATCGGGTGTGACATGTTCACGAACGAGATGTCGCGCACGGCAACGACGATGAGTCTTTCGATCCTCGTCACCGTCGAGATGTTCAACGCGATGAACTCGCTCTCGGAGAACGAGAGCTTGCTCCGGATGCCGATATGGAGGAACCTCTTCCTCGTCGGCGCGATCGCGCTGAGCATGGCGCTCCACGTCGCCATCCTCTATATCCCCTTCTTCACCGTGAGTGCCACCCGCAGACGTTCTCAGCGTGTGATACTGATGGAGACACCTTCTATCCGCAGACGCTGTTCGCGATCACCCCTCTTAACTGGACTGAGTGGAAGGCTGTACTATACCTCAGTGCACCGGTCCTCCTCATCGACGAGGTGCTCAAATATATCACTGTGAGTGTCTACTAAATCCGTGTCGTCGGATAACCCGTGCTGATCCGCTGCCATGCAGGCAACATTTGTCTCCCCACCTTCGAAGCTCAAGGCGGATTAGATGTTTGGAGTAGAATACACTGCATGTCTCGGGGATTTTGTAATGACTTTGTAATGACAGCGACGGTAGAGCCTTGCGAGCTATAGTATCAATACATCATCTGCTTGCGCGGTCTCTCGTTAAAGAATAGCTCCCGTGGTGCCTTGTATCATAAGCATAGGGGTCCCACGAGATGGTTAACGATTGTAGTATGCATCAAAGAGAGGGTTTCAACGTGCCCCGTGGCTGAGTTGGTTACAGCGTCCGACTGTTACATCATCGAGGGTGTTGGAAATCGGAAGGTCGTGAGTTCGAGCCTCACCGGGGCAGCGTCGTTTTGTTCTTGTGGGTGTGTCGCTTAGACGGAGGGTTTTCACGCGCACGACTGTTATGTGCAGTAGTCGTTTGGTGTGACCTCGAAGGTATTATGTACAGAACTTTCCACTAAGCTGCCTGGACAATACGTTGTGGCCGTTGCGGCTACTCTAGGAATACCAATATTAACCTGACGGCGATTGTGACATGAATCACCACCCAGTAAAATGGTACCCTCACTGCAGCCTTTTGTTCACGACGTGCCACCGATACTGGCTGTTGACAGACTCATGTAAACTCGCCATCTTCTCCTTCGGAACGACCGGACGCGGTTGTGTCGACGATCACTCCTTGCAGGACTCACCCGAGGGATGAACGGTACAAGCCTTGCGCGACAGCTTTCCGACGCCGACGTCGATTGATCCTGCCCCGGCGTCTTGTCTGTGTACGCGGTCGACGGTCTCAACCCCGCCGCCGAACATGGAAGACAATAGTGAGACACCTGCTGTGTGGCGTGTGCGTGGCCCCTGTGGGTGCCCCCCCGTCCCCCGGAGCGGGAGTGGCGACTCACGGGCCCTCACCGTTAAAAAAAAATTGCGCGCGCCTGGGCCGGGGAGGGGTGAATCCAGGATCGGGGATCGAGGAGGGATGGGCCACTTCCATGCATCGCCCGGGCGGAGCGCATGCCCTCCTGAGTCCTCCGCGCCGGGATCACAGATCGCGGTGCACGGTGGTGCAGACTGATGAGCTTTGGGGCGTGCTCAAGGGCGGGGCCCGGACGCGCGGGGCGGGGTGCACAGGCCGCATGCATGATGCACGAGTTGCGTCGGTCCGAACGAGAGGGCCCCCTTCTCATCGCCACGCGCGGCCGTGGCCCGTGAGTGTTGCCTGCTGACGGTGTGGGCGCCGAGACAGGCAGAAGGGTTGTCGAAGGTCGAGGATCGCTTACCGAGGTGGCCCGAGTGCGAGGACTCGTCGTGCGACGACGCGGGTGCAGATGAAGGGGCCGCCCGAGGCCGCCGTCGACCTTCCCAATTGTCTCTCCAGACGGTGGTGGTGATTTTCGTGAGCGGCACCTCCTCACGTACGTACGCAGCCACCCAGCACGGGGCAGGGGAGGCGTGCGCCAGTGGTTTGAGCAGTTGTGTGCGCATACGTACGCCGACGACGATCTGGGGGAGGGGCGCTGCAGTTGGATGGAACTTGGAACGGCCCATCGGAAGCGCGGACGCCACAGCTGAGCGTGACCCGCCCGCGTCACCGTCGTCGACGCCGCCGAGGAGAGCGGGCGACCGGTAATCAAGTGCGCGAGATCGCGCTTGCGAGATGCACGATGCACGATGCACGCCGGCCCCCGATGCCGCGACGATCAACTACAACGTCACCGTGACGGCGACACCCTCGCTGCCGCTCGCGTCGATGCTGGATCTGATGCGTACGTCCTAATGTGATGCCACAATTGCTTTCGCAGTATTCGCCCCCGCACAAGCAATTTCGCCAAGTGCTATTCGCAGCCGGGCAACGTCCCCGGACAGGTCTTCGAGGATAAGGTTAGGTTAGCGAGCAGCGAGGTGATAATATTGTAGCGAAAGACAGGTTATACACAATGTACATATCCAGGAGATCCAGGGTCATTACGGCCAGCCTCTGCGGACCGGCAGCCATATACACATACCATGCGGGGAATAGTTCCCCGCCGCCGTACATACGCACCCCAACGAAACAGATAACTGCGCTGCATCATCACGCCGAAGCGCAGCCCTGGACATACTCACGCTCAGACCCTGTCTGCATCTCCGCCCGCAGCAAGCACGGGGCCAGTCGGGGCGCGGACATGCGCATGATTCGCATGCTCTTCGGGAGGGAGGACATCGAAGCCGCTGCGCCCAAGCTCGGAGGGAAGCACCGCGGTGTCCTCGAGCGCCTCCTCCGCGAGTAGCGTCTGGGTCTCGTCCTCGTCCTCGGCCGGCGCCGCCGGGGCGTTCTCCGACGGACGCAGGAAGCGCGGGGGCGAGACAAGGCGGTTGAACAGAGACTGCAGAGCGCCATCAGCCAAATGGTCAGGACATGCGAGACTGCCGAGAATTTGTGATACTGACCGTTCCGTAACTGTGCTAACGTGCATAAATAAACCAATTACATGTCAGAAATCATGTTACTCACACCAGGAGGGCAAAACCGGTAACTTGGAGCAGTGAGACGGGCCAAACGAGTACCTCCCAGCCAAGTCCCAGGCTGACGATCCAGATAGTGAGCGTCCGGCAGGTGTCGATGAGACTACGCGCAGTCGCGCTAACGTGACGTGTGATGCTGAGGCCGCAGAAGTTGAACAGTGCGATAGACAAGGCGATGACTATGCCGGACCACAAGACCGAGGGCGTGTCAACCATCTGGTGCCAGCCGCGTGGGAGGTCGAAGAACGGGGATACTGAGGAAAATCGGGCGAGAATGGGCATCGCGAGGATGATGCTCAGCGCGCCGAACAGTCCTTCGTATCCGACTGCGACCAGTGGCGCGACGGAGTAGCGGCCCAAAATCTTCTCTGTGTGCGCAGCGTGAGAGAGGAATTGAGTCAAAGGCTGTATACATCATCAGGAAGCTGACCTTCCACAACAAATTGGGTAGCAGAACTGCGCGTATCCGACCATCGGCAAAACGGACGCGCCGGGAAGAGAAGCACGTGTTAGTAAAGCCTCCATGCAAACGAGATGAGACGCTAGCACGGTGTGCGGGACGGCAGTGTGGTACATGAGGAAAGACGTACAAGACTTGGGCAAATAGGACGAAAAACACGCCTGGACGGTTGGTCAGATGACTGCGAAGAGGACTGCGCAGGCGAAGGTTGGGCTCACCAATGAGTACCTTCGTGACTTCTGGTTCTTCGACAGGCTCCGAGGTAGGAATGTCATCAAAGACGTTGGCTGCGGGCTCCTTCACGGCATCTTTGACCATAGACCCACTGAGACCGACGAGAGACACGCCTGCCATTACGGTGACAAGGGATATCCATCTTTGGAACAAGTGTTAGCAGCAGAGCCGGGATCGAGTCGCGCGATATGCGGGGTTATGCTTAATGCAGCGGAACGGGTGGGAAGTGGAACGACGCTCACTGGTACAGCCAGAGGTGTCTGCGCAGGAAGATAACGGAAAGGAGGCCGACGAAGAGGACTTGAGCGCCACGAGTCATCTGGTATATCGAGACCGGGGTGTAGAGCAGACCGACGTTCATCAACTGTATAGGTGCATTGTGACGGAAGAGGCATGTTGGAGGCGTCAGGGTGCACGGGAATTTGACATGAGAAGGACGGGTCGACCAAAGGTATGGAGGAGGCGTACCGTAGTACCGGTCAGATCGCACGCGGCGGGGAACCACAGGAGGAGAACTTTCCAGCCGTCAAGGGGCTGCTGGGGGATCTCGGCCTTTGCGCCGGCGGCAGGCTCTTCTTCGGAATCGGAAGGTAGGCGCAAGGGCTGAGACTGGCGTCTAGAGCGGACCCAAGTGAAGATGACAGGGAGGAAGCCTGGTGAATTACACGTGCGAGCACACGGTGATGAGTATCGGGCTGTGCGTATGGAGTGGCGGACATACAGAGCATCTCGCCGACTGGCTCGGACGGTGACAGTTATGTCAGGATTGGGTACGTGTGCGGACGAGAGGGGGAGACGCACGGAACATCTGTAGAGTTTGCCACACCGGCTGCTCGTACAGGACTCGATTGGCGGGGTTTGGATCATCACAGTTCTCTACACATTGCATGTCCTGCGCGGCAGGGTCATGTTGTGTTCCCTGAAGGGGGTATATGCGGGTGTGGGGTTACGGACCTGCCATTTGCTCCAGAGGGAATTGCTGGAGCCCTGGGAGGGGTAAGTGCGACGTGGCAGTAACAGGGCGCAAGGACGTACCGTGAAGAGCATCCCCCCGATGAGGATGGGGACATAGAGCGAGGAGGGCATGGCTGTCGTCGCGGTTGGGAGTGAGCAGCAGCGTGAGAGGCCAGACGCGGGCAGTCGCGAGCATGTCGCGGGCGGGCGGGCGGGGAGCGTGCGGTGCAGGTGCCGGCGGGACAGGGAGCCGAAAGAGGGAATGATCGGGTAAATAAGTAATTGGATAAATAACTGGGAGGGAAACGAAGAAGGATGGCAGGAGCGCGCGGGGGGCAGGTGGAATTCTTGATTGGTATTCTCTGATTCTCGATTCTCGATTCTCGATCCCCGGACAGCTCGATGGACGGTGACGGTCGGTTGGATCACCGAGTCCGAATCCGAGTCCGAGCCCCAACCCGCACCCGAATCTGAGTTCTTATTCTTATTGCTCGTCCTGGTCCATCGCCATGGCTCTCCCCCGCCTCCGCCCCCGGCCCTTCGTACTTATATCCCCTCCCGCCCGCGCCAGAGCCCTTCCCCTCCCCCATGGTCCACATCGTCCTCTCCACCACGAGGGGCAACTCCGGCAACCGCTACTTCCCCCACCAGGGCTACCTCGGTCTCACCCCAGTCCGCGTCGAGGGTGGTGCGTCCCCCGCCCTCCTCCGCACTCCCACCGTGCCGTACTGACCAGCCCGCAGTGGTCCGGACAAAACTTGATGAGGACGGCAAGCCAATCCCCGCACGCGCTCTCTCCATCTCCGTAAGATGCTACCAGTCCCGTCTCACCCGCTCCCGCACATTCCGGTCCACCCTCGTCGCCGACCACACAGACGTCCTCTGGGTGAAGCCGCCAGACAAGGACTACGCGGACGTCGCGGAGCTCGAGTTTCCCTTCAAGCTCACTCTCCCAAAACGAACACCGGGCTTCAGCACAGCAAACTACCAGGACTACCGCATATTCTGGCGTCTAGAAGCAGGTATGTCCTCCGCTCTGTCCGCCTCCCTTCTCCCCCCCATCTGCCACACGTTGCAACCAACCCCAATCATCCGCTCACGCGTCCACCCTCTCCTCCCAAAGTCCTCGATCACGTCTACATTCCAGGCGTCGGCTCCCGCGTTGTCCGCTATTACGACCTCGGCCTAGTTCG